TCGACAATGACCTGTTAATACAAGTAAAATGCGATAAATATTTCATGCCATATTCAGTTTACCTCTCAAAAATGGCTAGTTACTAGTTTTTTGGAAAAACTATGTCGTTTATTCGCTGAAATCAATTCCAACAGATGGTACTTCGACATCGATTATTCACTTCCGCATTGCGTTACCGGAAAGTCTTCAGGAATTTCCGAAGAATTGCGTCAGTACAACACAGCATTCTGATTAGTTAATAACCAACTTGACCCATTAGGTCAAAGGACGCTGCTGTAGATCAAATCTGCAATTGCATCATGGTGGAAAGTGATTTTCATCGAGAGTTTGCCTACGATCCAACAACTTCGTCAGTGGAAATAATATGACAATTTTGACTTCGACTGTGTTCCAACAGACTCAAATGTTTTTAATTCCGTAAATTATGGTGGTACGTAATTAATATTGTAATAAAATGTGCGTATTTTTTGTGATCATTTCTGTTTCTTCATTGTGAAAATCAATGACGACGCAACTAATTTAGTAATTTGATTTTCCCTCAAAGACGTAATCTGTCATTTGATGAATCAAAATTTTTATTTGCACTCTTTTTCGAGGGGGGTGCTCGGGTAAGCGCCCACCCCTACAAAATCGTGATTTTCTGAGTTGAGGCCCCTGGGCGCTAACGCGGTCGAGTACGGTATATGCAATTAGCTGTGGTCATTTCACTAATGTTGTCATTTTTTATTTCATTTACTGCTTTCTTAAACTATGTCCCAGTTTCTTGCCACTACAATACTCCAACTCTGCCTCGGGTGTCCGGTGGGTTGCTTGTGGCGAGAGACTGGGAAAACTGTTATAGTACAGGTTATAAAAATGTATAAAGTAAGAAAAAAAATCATAAAATACCAATACTTTTTAACATGTTAACATAATGCAAGATTTGTTTTTATTTTGGCCTCCTTAATTTTATACAGTAAAACTATAATCACATCAGTTTTTCACTGTAACATTCCTGAATTTAAAACACATGAATATGTAAAATTACAATTACGATGCCTCATTGTTTTACTGTAACATTCCTGAATTTAAAACACAGGAAAGATGTTAAATGTATCGAAATAATAATTAAATAGCTGTGAAAATATTTAATGCTTTCACATTTTACTACCACCGTAATGTGT